GCGCTAACGCTAAAGCTAACAGGCTAAGCTGAGGTTCTTCCATGAAGCAGCTCTGTTGTCCTCCATCTTAAAAGTTTAGTTTAAAAATGATAAAACTAAACAGCCTACAGTATTTTTCCAGTCTTTATTTTACAGTTTACATAAATGTTTATCAAATAAATAACGTTACAACTAATGGTGGATTCCTTTCAAAGAATTATCTACAAACAGGTAAGACGTTCGTGCTCCACGTGGCCTCTGGATTGGCTTCAGTTTTCAGACTCTGAGTCCAGTTTTGACCTAAAYTCTGCCTCCGGCCTGAATCCTTGTCATCCAGATGTTCTGGGAGGAAAACAGTCAGTTTTCCTCCTGCTGGTGTTTCTGAACACAACAACAGTTTGTTGTGTTGTTGTTTTGAAACGAAGAAGCAGCTGTGCTGACATTAGTGCAAACAGCCTGGAGAAACGTTTGACTCATGAAATGAAGTCTTAATGAAAGTTTTGACTGAACTCTAACGTTTGTGTAACAGTTTAATACAAGTGAGCAAACTCTGCGAGTCGTTCAGTCTCTAAAGCCTTAAAACAGACAAACAGCTGATCAAACCTGGATCAGTATCCAGCCTGTCCTCGASTCCTGCTGGAAGAGCTTTCATCGTGGTTAAAGTGCACCTCTCCTCCACCGGGGGGCGCCGCTGTGCTACGACCAAACAGAAACAACTCCAAACCGAGGCGCTCTGCCGTGTCCGTCAGCGGCAGAGCGCCAGGCGTCTCACCACACACAGGTCACTCAGCAGGCGCCTGATTCGCTGCTTGAGCTGCGGGAGGCGGGACAAAGGGTCCGGGGGCTCCAGCTCGCCCGTGTGGTCCAACCAGGACTCCAGCACTGGAGAGAAGAACAAACATGATGACTGTCCCGATCAGAGTGTGTGTCTCATGCTGTGAGGTGGAAGGTGCTACCGTCCAACTCGCGCTCCATCAGCTCCATCCTGGTGCTGATCTGCTGGTGGACGGACTCCACGTGCTCCAGCAGGTTGAGACGACACTGAGCCGGAGACGCCGCGGGCTTCACTTCCTGTTGGCTCTCTGGCTTCACGCTCAGCTGGCTGTGTGACGGCGTCAGGACGTGTGAGTCCACAGAGACGTCAGACCTGTCCTGTCCAGGTTTGATGTCCTGCAGAGACAAACCAACACTCACACTGCTGCCATGTTTTCACTCCACCTGTCATGTTGTTTCTGCAGTTTAGACTTTCTGACATTAAAACATGATGGAGCTGTTTTCATCGTCCTTAAAATCCTTCAACATGTTTTTAAATCTTTAAATCCTTCAACATGTTTTTAAATCTTAAAATCCTTCAACATGTTTTTAAATCTTTAAATCCTTCAACATGTTTTTAAATCTTTAAATCCATCAACTTGTTTTTAAATCTTAAAATCCTTCAACATGTTTTTAAATCTTAAAATCCTTCAACATGTTTTTAAATATTTAAATCCTTCAACATGTTTTTAAATCTTAAAATCCTTCAACATGTTTTTAAATATTTAAATCCTTCAACGTGTTTTTAAATCTTTAAATCCTTCAACATGTTTTTAAATCTTTAAATCCTTCAACATGTTTTTAAATATTAAAATCCTTCAACTTGTTTTTAAATCTTTAAATCCTTCAACGTGTTTTTAAATCTTAAAATCCTTCAACATCTTTTTAAATCTTAAAATCCTTCAACATGTTTTTAAATCTTTAAATCCTTCAACGTGTTTTTAAATCTTAAAATCCTTCAACATCTTTTT